CTCTCTCTCTCTCTCTCTCTCTCTCTCTCTCTCTCTCTCTCTCTCTCACACACACACACACACACACACACACACACCAAAAGCCAAAATCAAAATAAACTCTTCCATCAATCACTTTTGATCACAGTGTTTTCCCACAGCAATAAAATAACTAGTATCCCTGTCAATATACAAAACACTAAGACATTCCTCAATTCAGAGATGTTGAAATTATTATATTGTTTTTTCACATTCTTTATTTCATCTTGATACAAGATCTCACTATGTAGCTAGCTTAAAAACTCGCAATCCTACTACCTCAGCTTCCTGAGGGCTGAGATTATAGGCCTGAGCTTCCACTGCCAGCTTAAAAGGCAAAAATGCTCTTTAGAATGAGTGACATGTGGCACTCTCTTGGCCTTCCTACACACCCTGCTTTAGGAAAGATTCTAGCGCAGAGTTCCAGAAAAGGAGGCAGAGAGACCAATGCAGCTAATGATAATGATAAGATCAGGGACCAAAGACCAGGGCCGGAGTGTAAGGAGAGTCGGATGTGCTGCCCTCTGCTTCCTCAGATGAAGGAAAGGAGTCTAAAGTTAGAAAGGTTCCTTTCCACCTGCAAATGGCCTGTGTGCCACCAAAACTTGAGTCCTTCCTCTGAGAGTCCCCAAATGAAGTCATAAGATAATGCCCACTCCCGTTCACCAACTCCGAGCAACACTCAGTGACTTTGTGTTTCACTTTGCTTTGTTTATTACAGACTTATGTATCTTCCTGAAAAATTAAACTATTAAATTACTGGATGTTTTTATTTTCCAAAGATGAGACAGGCAACGCCCACAGCTCATCAGACCTCAACCTGCAGCTTCCTGCATCTCAAAACCAAAGAAGCAGGGTCATAGCAACCAAGCTTGGTTCACCTTGAGGACCTTTTCATGATGGGAAAATGGAGGAGCAAATGTCCAGAAGGAGTTTGGAAAACCACTGAGGCAGAGACCTGTGCGCAGCGGCAGTCAAACCCACCAGGGCTCGTCATCCTGTTCCCCTGTGTGGTCTTGGAAGACAGTGTCCTTGATCTAAAGACGTGAACTTTGTCCTGCTGTTCTAGCTTGGGGAATGCTGAGAATTGAACTCATTAGGTTTCTCATTTCCAGAAACCCAAACAAACTCATCTGGAGTCCCGGCGCACGTGAAAGGTATACAAAGCAGTCAGATACATACCTGTAGTTCTGCCATGTAAATGTTCACACAGTAAATAAGCCAGACTGTAGAGGGCTCTCTAAAAATGCTCCCCATCTCTCTGCTATCATCAGAAAACTGTTGCCATTTCTCTCCTTCCCCAAATCAGAATGGCCCAGGTTACATTAATGCGCTTGCTCTAGCGGCAAAAACACCACCGTTACAGTCTTTATTAACCATTTTAAACAGCGTATTAAAACTCTCTGGGAAAATTGATAGATACTTCCAGTGTGTAGACTGATATTATTAAGTATTGATATCATATTAGACTCTTTAATGTCTAATTTGTAAAAATTAATCTGATATCTTTATCTTGCAATATCAAACTTAAATTACAGAAGAGCCAAGAAGACTTGTGGTTGTAGATTATGGCTTAATCCGTGCTTACTTAGAACAGTGATTCTCAGAAGTCCACTTAACTTCCTGTTTGAATACAGCCCACTGTGCCTCCTCCCCAGAGCTGCTGACCTAGGAGGTGGGCTGGACAGTGTCATTTGCATCTCTAGGAACATTCCCAGGTGATGCTGAAACTACTGGTCCAGGGACCCCACTCATTGAGACAACTATTGGGAGAATCAGCAAAGACAAACCCTAGAAGCTTCCTCTCCTTTTTCTCTAGAGACACGCTGAGCGGAGGATCTAGAAGAGACTGGACTCAGGCAACCGAGTGTGGAGCAGGCTGACCGCGAGCACCTGTCAAACCTTTGTCAGATACCCTTCCTGCATTAGTTACGCTGTGCTGCTGTGGTTAAAAGACACCATGACAAAAGACTCTTCAGGAAGAGTTTATTCTGGCTACAGTTCCAGAGGGACAGTTCACAATGGCGAAGAAGGCATAGCATCAGGTAGTCAGCGGAGGAAGCTGAGATCACAGCTTCAGCCGCGTCAACCGCAGAAAGCAGGGAGAGTGAATGGGAAGTGGGGTAGGGCTGCACACCTTCACAGCCCACCCTCGGTGACAGAGACACATTTCCTCCAACAAGGCTCCACCTCCTAAAAGTCCAAATAGCACCACTCACTGTGAACCAAGGGCTCAAATACCTGAGCCTATATGAGGGACATTTCTCATTCAAACCACGACATGTCCTTAAACAGACTTCAGTCGCACCCTGGCAGGCTCTGCTGCTGACCTAGGAATCATGAGACCTGGGTGCTTTGCTCTGTCTCCATATGACCCTGGGATTGTATGGGGCTTCCCCTGAGAGAATTCTATGGGACCAAGGCTACCAGGAGAATACAACAATACCAGCTCCCCCGCCTCAAATCACACAACGTTTAGGGGATCACAGGAAGTATTTTGTTGACTGCAAGACGGTGGAAAATAATCCGTTTCTTGGTCCCCAAAATACTGGGGTCATTGTCTCTGCTGTGCCTGCTGACACTGGGAGAAACTAGGTAGAAAGATAGGCGGTCCTCAGTTTGTATCCTGATAGACTCAGTATATTTAAAATATCCTAAGTCAAAGCTGCATTTAATATGCCTAACCTCCTAAACATCGTAGCTGAGTCTTGCCTACCTTCTGTGTGCCAGGGCACTGCAGGGGCCTAGAGCTGGAAAACAGTTCTTGTTGAACACTTTAGTGAGGGTTTCTATTGCTGCAATGAAACACCATGACCAAAAAGCAAGTTGGGGAGGAAAGGGTTCCTTTAGCTTACACTTCCATATCTCTTCTTACCACTGAAGGAAGTCAGGACAGGAACTCAACAGGACAGGAACCTGGAGGCAGGAGCTGATGCAGATGCCATGTCAGGGAGCTGCTTACTGGCTTGCTCCCCATGGCTTGCTCAGTTTGCTTTCTTATAGGACCCAGGACCACCTGCCCAGAGATGGAACCACCCACAATAGTTTGGGCCCTCCCGCATCAATCACTAATTGATGCATCCTTAACCCAGATCTCAACTGAGGTTCCCTCCTTCAGATAGTTTGTATGTCGAGTTGACGTAAGACTAGCCAGCACAGACACTACGTTGGGCATGAATAGTAGAATGTGTGGGTTAGCTTCTGTATCATCGCGATATCAAATCATTTGCTTTTCCATGTCTATGGAGTCATGCAAATTTCAAACAGCCCAGAGAAGGCAAGGAATATATTTTTATTACTGTTATGTAGCTCAGACTCGGGAACACTGAGTTATACCTCCTGCTTCCAGCTCTGGAAGCAGCCACTGTGTTTTGGCCTTACTGCTTGTGAACAAACCTAAGTGTCCCATAGAAAGATACCCAAGTCGTGACTGCATCAAATCAGAAGGGAAATGGTCCAGGCACTCCACAGCACCCTCCCTGCTGTAAGGCTGAAGGAGAGGGAGCAAATGGGATCAGCAGGACCTCATGGACATGTGCCTCTCCTCCCAGGGCCTTTATCTCTTTCTCTTCAAAGCTAGGATGCTAAGTTTCATTAGCTGAGACACCCTTTCAACCCTGAGCCAGAAGCACAGTAACTTTCTGTTCTTCCGCATGCCGCTTCTGGGTTCCCCCTTCTCTGTACTATGCTGGGAACATGCCCTCTCATCACATTTAGGGAGGAGGGATGTCTGAGGCTGGGAAAGGCTGTGAATTCAGAGTCCCTAGGCAACCCAGGCAGACTTCAGAATATACAGTCAGTCTCAGATGGTAAGGAACTTAGACAATGTTGCATTGTGGTGCTTAAAAACAGGCATTTTTAAGAGCCTGGGCTTACTGAGTCAGCAATCTGGAACATTCTCAAGAAGCTAAAAATATTCCCAAAAGTGAACTGAATTTAAAAAAAAAATGTTCTTTGTGGAAACAACTGAGTGCTTCTTCCTTGAGAGTTACCCATTTCCTTCCTTTGGGTGGGTGGTCACTAGAATCACGCAAGCCTCAGACAGGGATGGGGTGAACACCATGACCCGAAAGGCTTTTCCTTCTAGATCCCATAATAGGGGACAGAAACGTTAAAGTTTAAATCTCTTAAATGATTTGCATTCTCAAAGCAATGAGGCACAGTGTTGTTTTCGCCCATCTGAAAATGTGAAGGTTCTCTTTCACATTGTCAAACAGCAGGACAAAGGGCATAGACATTTTCAACCAGGAGCCAAATTTGTGTCTGCCAAGTACTTAGTGTCTGGGACTGCTTGACTTTCCAAAGCAAGACACAAACCATGGGCTCCTCGGTGGTCTGAAACATTTCCAGTAAAATGGAAAACTCAGTGTTACCACCGTGGTCATAACTCTGTGCAGCAACCACGGCTATTTTTAACCATTACTAGACACAGTCCACAGTCACTGGGAAAAGGGGGCTTGATGAGGGGCTGTCTACATCAGGTTGGCCTGTGGGGCTTCTGACTACCGTCACTGTCATGAGAGACCCTGTCTAAAAGTGAGTGTCGCCACTCCCAGGGTTTGGGTCCTGGGCTGTTTAAGACTGTGGAAAGAGAGCTGAGACTACATGTGCGTCCATTCTTTCTCCTCTCTGCTCCTGACTGCGGATGTGGCTAGCTGCTTCGAATCCCTGTTGCCTTGATTTCCCTCACTGTGATGAGTCATACCCTGGAACTGTGAGCTGAAATGAACTCTTCTTCCGAGTCACCTTTCTCAGGGAACTGTTTCACAGCAACAAGGACACCAGGAGAACAACTTCCCCCTGGTCCCCACTCATGTGCCCTTGAAGGCACAAAGAAGGCAAACATCTATTATAGCAAAGTAAAATGGACTCTCAGCGTAAGGGAGGAGTTAGATTCACACGGCGTCTGCAGTGGTTTTCTCAAACGAGCCCTGAGGCCAAGGGCAGAAGGAGGCAAGCCAGC